TCTTGGTACTAGTGAACGGCTTTTAAGCCAAAAATTTGCAGCCACATTTCCTATACCTGGAGAGAGTTTCAGGTGTCAACGCCCCCGCGACCCGGCCTGTGACCAGGCCTCATGGTGGATCAGGGTCTGATCAACCAGGTTGTTACTGCTGGCCGCACGAAATCCAACGTACGAACCACAGTTCTGCTGGTCAGGTACTGACTTTAGGTGCTTGTCCAGTGCCTGCTTGAAGACAGCCAGGGGTCTATTGGTAATCCCCCTAATGTATGCTGGGAGGCAATTGAACAGTCTTGGGCTCCTGACACTTATGTTGTCTCTTATTGTGCTAGTGGCACCCCTGCTTTTCATCGAGGGGATGTCGCATCGTCTGCCAAGTCTTTTGCTTTCATAGGGAGTGATTATCGTGTACAAGTTTGGTACTAGCCCCTCTAGGATTTTCCAGGTGTATATAATCATGTATGTCTCCCGCCTGCGTTCCAGGGAATACAAGTTGAAGAACTTCAAGCGTTCCCAGTAATTGAGGTGTTTAATCGCAGTTTTATGTACCATAAAGGTTCTCTGTACATTTTCTAGGTCAGTAATTTCACCTGTCTTGAAAGGTGCTGTTAGTGTGCAGCAATATTCCAGCCTAGATAGAACAAGCAACCTGAAGAGTGTCATCATGGGCTTGGCATCCCTAGTTTTGAAGGTTCTCATTATCCATCCTGTCATTTTTTCTAGCAGATGCGATTGATACAATGTTGTGGTCTTTAAAAGTGAGATCCTCTGACATTATCACTCCCAGGTCTTTTACATTAGTTTGTCGTTCTATTGTGTCGTTAGAATTTGTTTTATACTCCGGTACAGTTTTAATTTCCTCACGTTTTCCATATTAGAGTAATTGAAATTTCTCATCACTGAACTTCATATTGTTTTCTGTGGCCCACTGAAAGATTTGGTTGATGTCCGCCTGGAGTTTTGCAGTGTCTTTAATAGAGGTCACTGTCATACAAATTCGGGTGTCATCTGCAAAGGAAGACACGGCGCTGTGGTTTACATCCCTATCTATGTCAGACATGAAGATGAGGAATAGGATGGGAGCGAGTACTGTGCCTTGTGGAACAAAGCTTTTCACCGTAGCCGCCTCAGACTTTTACTCTGTTTATTACGCCTCTTTCTGTTCTGTTTGTCAGGAAATTATAGATTCATCTACCAACTTTTCCTGTTATTCATTTATCGCGCATTTTATGCGCTATTACACCATGGTCACACTTGTCAAAGCCTTTTGCAAAGTCTGTGTATACTGCATCTGCGTTTTTCTTTTTGTCTTCTAGAGCATCCAGGATCTTGTCATAGTTGTCCAGTAGAGCAGGAGCAACCTGCTCTAAACCCATGTTGCCCTGGGTTGTGTAACTGATGGGTATTTAGATGAGTGGCGATCTTGCTTCTTAGAACCCTTCCAAAGATTTTTATGATATGGGAAGTTAGCGCTATCGGTCTGTAGTTCTTTGCTATTGCTTTACTGCCCCCTTTGTGGAGTGGGTTATGTCTTGTTTTTAGCAGCTGTGGGACGACCCCTGTGTCCATGCTCCCTCTCCATAGGATGTTAAAAGCACATGATAAAAGTTTCTTGCAGTTATTGATAAACACGGAGTTCATTACCTTTGTAACTTGGTCATGACTGTGACCAGATCGACCTGGAGTTCATTACCTTTGTAACTTGGTCATGACTGTGACCAGATCGACCTGGAGTTCATTACCTTTGTAACTTGTCAATGGTCCAAGTCGGACCGAAACGTCGTCGTAAGCTTCTCTCTTTTATGTGCGGGTTATTTGTGTACTCAAGTGTCGGTTGTGCGGATATCCCAGGATGGTTGGTGGAGTTGTCAGTAGTGAACGTTTAGTCTGGCAACGTTGACACCATCCTCCTACGCGGCAACAAGTGTGTGTTTTATTAAAACTGGTTTAATAAACTCAGACAAAGTGACTTATTTGGCTCTTTGTATTACCTAACTATTAGATTAAGTTATATATTACATGAACATTACTTATATGAGTATTAAAATATAAATATCAGTTACTGAACTATAACTTACCTACTAATATATATATATATTATATATTATATATATATATATATATATATATATATATATATATATATCACTCTGACTTTATATGATAATTGTTGTGGAAAAATTTAAATTTCCCTAAATTTAGCATATTTAAATTTAAAAAATATAATAATGGTGTATTAAAATGCAATGCTATTTAGACCCTTTGAAAAAATTAGAGTGAGGGGGGATGTGGAAGAGCAAGGGAGTGACGCCATATTGAATTTAATGTGTGAATACTGGACTGAGTTGTGCAATGTGATCGGGCGTTCTCGAAGGCCAATTGAGGATTTTCAGCCTGACTTTGTAATTAGGAACCCGTGTTAATGACCCCTGCTCAAGAATTGGGACAGGAAATTTGTGGGACCTCAAGAATTACATGTGGATGGTGGAAGATAAGGGATACAAACATCACTTAAGGGAAGTGCACCATTAGACCTTCCATATAGATCTCTAGCTGGCCAGTGTAGGGTTTAGGTGTTAGCCAGGTGTTGTGGTGTGATCCATCTACAGTAATTAAATGGTAAGCGTTAATACCAGCAAGATCGTCAACCATCTAGATACCCATCAGTTACACAACCCAGGGGAATTTGGGTTTAGAGCAGGTTGCTCCTGCCTGTTCCAGCTATTGAATCACTATGACAAGGTCCTGGATGCTGTAGAGGTTAAACAAACTAGAGATGTAATAAAAACAGACAAGTGTGACCATGGTGTAATAGCGCACAAAATGCATGATAAAGGAATAATAGGGAAAACTGATAGATGGATCTATAATTTCTTGATAAACAGAATACAAAGAGTAATAGTAAACAGAGTAAAGTCTGAGGCAGCTACGGTAAAAAGCTCTGTTCCACAAGGCACAGTACTCATTCCCGTTCTATTCCTCATCCTCATATCTGACATAGACAAAGATGTAAGCCATAGCTCCGTGTCTTCCTTTGTGGATGACACCCGGATTACCATGACAGTGACCTCCATCGAAGATACTGCGAGACTCCAAGCGAACATCAACCAAATCTTTGAATGGGTCACTCAAAACAATATGAAGGATTAAGGGATTAAGGGGTTTATTTCCTTGCATAGTTTACAGTGTATAATTACAATATTGATTTACTAAGAGCAAAGAAAGACACTATTATGCCGAGGCACTTCGGGCAATGAAGAAAAATTTCAACTACTCAGATATGAAAAACTTGAGGAAATTTAAACTGTATCAGGGTATACGACAAATTCTAACCATACAATAAAGCGAAAAAGTAATGTGAAGGACCTGGGAGTAATAATGTCAGAGGATCTCACCTTCAAAGACCACAACAATGTATCTACCTCATCTGCTAGGAAAATGATAAAATGGATAATAAGAGCCTTCAAAACTAGGGACGCCAAGCACATGATGATTCTATTCAAATCACTTGTGCTCTCTAGGCTGGAATACTACTGTACACTAACTGCCCCCTTCAAGGCTGGCGACATTACAGACCTGGAAAGTGTACAAAGAACTTTCACGGCACACATAAGTACGAGAAGGCACCTAAACTACTGGGAACAGTTGAAGGCCCTTGATTTGTATTCCCTGGAGTGCAGGCGAGAGAGATACATGATAATATACACTTGGAAAATCCTAGAGAGATTAGTACCAAACTTGCACACGAAAATCACTCCATATGAAAGCAAAAGACTCGGCAGGAGATGTAACATTCCCCCGATGAAAAGCAGGGGCGCCACGAGTACACTGAGAGACAGCACAATAAGTGTCCGGGGCCCAAGACTGTTCAACTGCCTCCCAGCATACATAAGGGGGATTACCAATAGACCCCTGGCTGTCTTCAAGAAGGCACTGGATAGGCACCTAAAGTCAGTACCTGACCAACCGGGCTGTGGTTCGTATGTTGGATTGTGTGCGTCCAGCAGTAACAACCTTTTTGATCAGACCCTGATCCACCACGAGGCCTGGTCTCAGACCGAGCCGCGGGGATGTTGACCCCCGAAACCTTCTCCAGGTAAACTCCAAGTACAGTCCACAACCTTAATTTACCAAAGTACCTGGTTTTAATATTTTAATTATTAATTTAATGTCAGGTCTAGCTTTTTGTGTGAGTGGTGAAGAGGTGGGCATCGAGGGAGTTACAGTCCTACGACCTACTGTGACTTAAGTCCCACTTATCTCACCCAAATTACTTGCCTGTAATAATTCAGGTAATACCACGTAAATCTCATGCAAGTAATATACTCTAATAATAATAATAATAATAATAATAATAATAATAATAATAATAATAATAATAATAATAATAGTAATAATAATAAAATAATAATAATAATATAATAATAATAATAATAATAATAATAATAATAATAATAATAATGATAATAATAATAAAAATAATAATAATAATAATAAACGTTAGTCACTATGTCTAACTATTCTAGGTTATCCCAGGTAATCTACACATATACTGCTATGTAGGAAAATTTATGTAACTGTATTTATGAGTACGTGTACCTGAATAAACTTACTAAGTAATTGATGTTTTTGTAATAGTCATGGTGAGTGAGATAAAGCACCAAGTAACGTCACTGAGACGAACACTTAAGAACGTAGCAACAAGACACAATTTCACATATTTTGAGTAGATTTAATAATAGATTGGACAAGGTACACGCATTGGGGTGGTTGGATATGAGTATAATCAGCCTAGAATGGGACAGTAGGTTTATTGCAATACTCCTCTGTTCTTATGCTCTGTGTCCTCTCAGAACCACTGGATAAATTAATGCTAGTTTCTTTTTTAGTTATATTTGTAGATTTCTCGAACAAATCTTATCTTAACAGTTAAACAGGAGAAAGGACTGAATACTGCACAAGTTTTTTTGGCCCTTTAGTCCACCAAAACTTGTGCAGTGTTCAGTCCTCTCCTGCTTATTGCTTAAAACAAGATTTGTTCAGCTTATCTACAATATCCTAGGTAGTAGGTTGGTAGACAGCAACCACCCAGGGAGGTACTACCGTCCTGCCAAGTGAGTGTAAAACGAAAACCTGTAATTGTTTTACATGATGGTAGGATTGCTGATGTCTTTTTTCTGTTTCATAAACATTCAAGATTTCAGGTACGTCTTGCTACTTCTACTTACACTTAAGTCACACTACACATACATGTACAAGCATATGTATATACACCCCTCTGGTTTTTCTTCGATTTTTCTTTCTAGTTCTTGTTCTTGTTTATTTCCTCTTATCTCCATGGGGAAGTGGAACAGAATTCTTCCTCCGTAAGCCATGCGTGTTGTAAGAGGCGACTAAAATGCCGGAAGCAAGGGGCTAGTAACCCCTTCTCCTGTATAAATTACTAAATTTAAAAAGAGAAACTTTCGTTTTTCTTTTTGGGCCACCCTGCCTCGGTGGGATACGGCCGGTGTGTTGAAAGAAGATCATCTACAAATATAATAAAAAAAAAATACTTGCATTAACTTATCCAGTGGCTCTGAGAGGACATAGAGCATAAGAACAGAGAAGTATTGCAATAAACCTACTGCCCCATTCTAGGCAGGTTATGACTCACGAAATCGTAATGACACGATTGCAAGCAAACCATACCCCCGGCCGGGATTGAACCCGCGACGGGCTGGAGTTTTGAGACTCTCTGACCGCGGGTTCAATCCCGGCCGGGGTATGGCTCGGCAGGTTATATTCATCCAACCACCCCATCATTTTAATAAGTCTTAGAGAAGCTATTAAAATAATGGCATATAATACCGACAACATAAGGAATTAGACACATGTGGAACATCTTGGATAACTATGAGACGACTTTAAATAAGACGAAACGTTTATAAATTAAGCACAAAGTCTTTAAATAAGGATACCCAAATGTTGCGCATGTTCATAACTTCTTATGTAAGGTGAAAGCCTGTTGTTGTTGACTCTGGTATGGGTTATACAAATACAAATATTTATTTCCTTGTAAAGTTTACAATGTGTGGTTTATATGTGGTTTACATGTGGTTTACATGTGGTTTACATGTGGTTTACATGTGGTGTACATATGCTGCTGTGTACGATAATTCTATGTAACTGTATTTGCGCATATAACAGGGAGGGCACTGCAATGGATAAGGGAATACCTGACAGGGAGGCAATAATGTCGTACGAGGAAAGGTTGAGGGAAATCGGACTGACGACACTGGAGGACAGAAGGGTCAGGGGAGACATGATAACGACATACAAGATACTGGACAGAGATAGGATGTTCCAGAGAGGGGACACAGAAACAAGGGGTCACAACTGGAAGCTGAAGACTCAGACGAGTCACAGGGACGTTAGGAAGTATTTCTTCAGTTATAGAGTCGTCAGGAAGTGGAATAGCTAGCAAGTGAAGTAGTTTACCTGGAGTTTACCTGGAGAGAGTTTCGGGGGAGTTTGGAGGCAGGAACCATACATAGTTTTAAGAAGAGGTATGACAAAGCTCAGGAAGCAGAGAGGGAGAGGACCTAGTAGCGATCATTGAAGAGGCGGGGCCAGGAGCTGAGTCTCGACCCCTGCAACCACAATTAGGTGAGTACACACATATACATATACACACACACGTACACACACACACACACACACAGGCGGGGCCAGGAGCTATGATTCGACCCCTGCAACCACAAATAGGTGAGTACACACACACACATACACACAGGCGGGGCCAGGAGCTGAGTCTCGACCCTTGCAACCACAATTAGGTGAGTACACACACGCACACATGTGGTAATGCTTTATTTACAGCTAGCAAAGTCAGGGTATTTCTCCAGAATGGTCTGTAATATACCACTGTGGATAAAATACTTTGCCATTTCTTGAACATTTCTGAGTGAGTTGTTTCTAAATTCATTAATTTTATCACACTCCAGTACATAATGACGCAGTGTGTGACAATAGTCCATCTGGCAAAGTTTAGATTTCGTTTGGTCTACATCTGGTGGTGGTGATTTAACCTGCCAAAGATACTTGTAACCCAGCCGGAGCCGGGCAGTAGTGACATCCAAGAGTCTACTTATCTTGTTGGATGCACCATAGACATGTGGCTCCTCCTGCATGATAGAATGATGATAGATGGTATCCATATACACATGCGCTACCATCCACAGGATGGATATGGGGTGCACAATAAACTGGCCACTTCGGTGGCAAAATCTAATCTAATCTTTGTCACAGGTTGCGACCCACACCAGTCGACTAACACCCAGGTACCCATTTTACACTGATGGGTGAACAGGGATAGCAGGTGTCTTCTGGAAACACGTCCCTAATGTTTTCCAGCAGTACCGGAGGAGATTCGTACTCTGTGTGTGAGCTGAGTCCTCTAGCGTTCCAGCTACGGGACACCTTAAACTTAAAGAAACATGCCCATTGTTTTTACCCTCGCCGGGAATCGAATCAGGACACTCAACGCGTGAAGCAAGAGCTTTTACCACCTGGCCACAAGCACAGGTACACATGAGCACAATTGTCATACATGGAGTAAAATACCTAGGATAACCCCCCCCCCCCCAAAAAAAAAAAAAAGGTCAAACAAAGTGATTAATTTCCACTGAGGTGATGTGGATGCATATATTCTTCAAGCCCCAGTGGATA